TTATCACAAAATGCCAACAGTGCAACTAAATCTGAATACTGAATACTGAGGATTGGGGTTGGGTTGGGTTTCACTAGTAGTCCAGGCTAGTCTTGAACTCACTATGTAGCTCAGGCTGGCCTAAAACTCACTGCAATCCTCCTGCCTCAGCCTCCAAGTGCTATGATTACAGGCGTGTGTCACCAGGCATGGCTGAGGTTTTAGTTTAGATAAAACAACTCATACATTTACATCTTGTGTTTTAAAAGAAAAACAAATTAACACACGTCATAGGTTTGCCATTACTGCTTTAGTTTGTGAACAAAAACAAATTTTGCTGAGTACTTTTCTTTGCAAACCGAATTGTTTACAAACAGAAGCATTCCTGAACCAAGGACAGAAAGAATCCAGAAAACATCTCCTGAAGGAGACTCCAGCACCCCAAAACCCAGTAACAGTACCATCCGATTGAAAGGCAAGTTCATGTCCTCACCTACCTTATTTACTGGATCTGGTATCATGCAACCTCTCTGGCTCTTCGCCAAAGTCAAAATAACCACAAAAGGGAAATGTTTTACTGGTTCAGGACACTCAGGCAGCCACAATAGTGCAACTAAAGACATTTACGAAAGAGGACTTCCAGAACTGCTTCAGAAAGTGGCAAAGATCATGCGATAAGTGTGCTGGAAGCAAGGAGGGTATTTCAAGGGGATTTAATGGTCATGTATCTTACTGGATTACATTTTTTAAAAAAATTTAAACATTCACTGTATTTTTCTATCACACCTGGTATATCTTTAGCCTATTCACAGAACTGTGCAATCATCACTGCTATCTAAATTCAGAACATTTCCATCATCTACACGAAACTCCTTATTCCTGCCTCCCCAGATCCCAACAACCACTAATTCTCTCGTCATTACGGATTTACCTATTCTGAGGATTTCATATGAATAGAATCATACAGAAAAAACAAAGTTTAAAAAAAACAAATCACTCAATGTTTGTGTAAAAATTGGTACAAACCTTTTGGGAAGAAAGTTAGCAATATATTTGCCAAGTTTTTCTTTTCTTTTCTTTGTACTGGGGATCGAACCCAGGACCTTCTGCTTGCAGGGAAGGTGGAACCACTGAGCTAAATCCCCAGCCCAACAATATATTGAGTGTTAAAAAGGTAATTACTAAAAAAAAAAAAAAAAAAGGGCAAGGAAAAGGCACATACTCTCTGATGTAAATTCCAATTCAATGAATGTATCCTAACCAAGTAAGAGAAATGCTTGTATCTTCAGTCTTTGATTACAAGAAAAAAGGCAATAATATTTCCTTTACAAACATTTGGATCAACATGTGAAAATATTAATAGGTTAAAAAATATCTCTACTTCACTAAAAAATGGCTGTCACCTCCAGAGAATAAATTATAAATCAGGCAAAAACAAAATGGGTATGTCCAGCTGCTGTAGTAGGCCATTTTAGACTCTCTCTCTACAGAACAACAATAACAAAAAAAAAACTGCAGGAGACAACTGCAGGTGATAGTCACTTTAGCCACCCAGGAACCTCTGAATCAACAATTCTTTACTTTTTGTATCCTACACACATAACCAGGTTCTAAATATTGGGTCAAAAGCAGGAAAGGGGTAGGCCAGGGATTTAGCTCAGTGGTTCGGCCACCTGCCTCACAGGCGCAAGGTCCCAAGTTCGATCCCTGGTACCAAAAAAATGAAAACAAACAAAAAAGCAGTAGAGGGGTCTGCTTTTCTTTTCTTTTTTGCGGCACAGGGGATCAAACTAATGACCTTGCACTTTCAAGCCAGGCATAGCACCACTGAGCTAAATCCCCCACCTGGGTCTGGTTTTCTTAATGGCTTAGGTGAGTTTTACAATTTCAAACAAAATTTGAAATTCTAGGAAAAGATTCCAAATAAATGTCCTCCCTCATGTTAGAGAATAAAGCATGATGTTTAGGAGCATAGAATTCTGGAGCTACAGTACCTAGATAAAAATCTAGTCTCAGCCATTTAATTGGCTGTAAAATCCTGGACAAATTAATGTGCACCCTTCAAATTTCTCATTCATAAAAAGTGAATACTAAGGGCCAGGGATTTAGCTCAGTGGTTCCGCCGCCTGCCTCGCAAGCGCAAGGACCCGAGTTTGACTCCTGGTACCAAAAAAAAAAAGTGAATACTAGTACTGATATTCCATAGGATTCTGGTAAGTACTACATGAGTTAAGGCATATGTAAAAGCACATAGATGAGTACCTTGCACTAGTTAAGTATATCAACATTTAATTATTACAGATAAATAGGCCCAGAGAAGGAAAAGCACTAGTACAAGATCACAGCTAGGATTACTGAAAAAGGTCTGGCTCCTCACTTTTGAATCCTGTGCCCTTCTACTACATGTCTACATGTAATTGCTAAATCAATGTTGGTGATTAACAATAGATCCTCACTGGCAGCCCTCAGAAAACCATGACAGTATAGCTATCAAAAAACCTCCAGAGCCAGGGATTTAGCTCAGTGGTTTTGCCACCTGCTGTGCAAGCGCAAGGACCCAAGTTCAATCCCTGGTACCAAAAAAACCCCAAAAACCTCTGATCCCCCCCCTAGACAAAACCGTGTAAAAGGCTGTAAAGAAAAAATAATTCAGAGAAAAAGATTGAAACTGAGGTGACCTTCATATCCACATTACATTATTACTTTCAGTCTCTCTCCGTGCTAGTTATTATTACTGGCCACTTAAGCAAACTTTGCTGAGGTTGGTCTGCTCACCACTGACCAAATCAAAGGAGGCCACATATTTGCTTTTTTGTTTTTTGAGACAAGGTCTCACTCGATAAGTAGTTCTGGCTGGCCTTGCATTCACTATGTAGACCAGGCTGGCCTTGAACTCCTGCCAATCCTTCTGTCTGAGCCTTCTGAGATTATAAGTATGCACCACCATGTCCAGCTAAGGCCACATATTTGGGTAAAAGGTTTTATTCAAAGCTACCTCCCAGGAGATGGAAGGGCCTATTTGCCTTGAATCACACACCTCTTGGTTTACAGGTGGTCATGACTAATAGAAGGGAGTAAGAACACTGAGCTAATGCAGATCTTCACACTTGCCTCATCACTTTTGTATTCTTCAGCTCATCATGCTCTTTCTTGTGGAAAAGAAACCAGGCTCCTGGCCTCCTGGGGCTGGCATCTGCATATGCTGTCTCTTTTGAGCCAAGAAGAGGGAGTGTTGATGGCTATATGCTCAACAGGAGTTAAGTTTGGAAAAGTTGCTTGTCTCTATAAAAACAAAACAAAACAACAAAAAAACACCTAACTTTTAAAGTTCCATTTTGCAGTGCTGGTTACAGTATGAGTCCCAGACAGCATTTGCTCAAATCCTAGCTTCCAAAAAAAAAAAAAAAAAAAAATCCCAGCTTCCAAGTGTAACAAGCATTTGGAAACAAAGCCAAATCCTCACGTCTACTTTCTCAAAGGGAGAATAATCAGGAGTTTTCTTCAGCCAACAGATTCTTACGACGAAGATGCAACCAGTATGTTCCGAAACTCCAACTACAATAGCCCAAGACTAGCAAATCAGATTCAGAGAGCCTTTTTTTTTTTTTTTTGGTACCGGGGATCGAACTCCGGTCCTTCCGCTTTCGAGGCAGGCGGCGGAACCACTGAGCTAAATCCCCTGCCCCAGAGACCCTTTTGAATGTGTGCTGCCCGAAATGTGGCCGGTCTCTAAGCGCTTTTTACACATTTCCTTTACACAGTCAGCTGCAGTAACCTTTTAGAGACTGGATATCGCTAATCTGCCCAGGTTAGGCTCGAATTTGCAATCCTCCTACCTCAGCCTCCCTACTAGCTGTGACAACGACGCCCAGCTTCTTCCTCCGCATTTTTAAAATCACATTATTGATACGCCAGCGAGAGGCCTATTCTGGGTTAATTCATAGAGATTTGGTAACAGCCTAGGACAATTGCCTTCAACAAGGAGAAAAGTAGACCTGCTTCTCCGCATACCCTGCTAGCCCAAAATAATTTACTGACAACTCCCTCGCCATTTTGTAACCTTAATTATCCATAAACGCCCGCCTCGCTCCCTACAACGCAGTCATTTCATCTGAAATACGCATGCGCACCACTCCCGCCCTACAGCGGACTCAATCGTCACCATATTGTCCCAAATACACATGCGCGCCCTACGCTCTCCAAATTGCCAGGGTAATTTTGCCCACTTCCATCCCTATGGATGTCTTTCCCTTTTCCATATCCCCCCAACCCAAGCCTTGTGGCTGCGCGCCTCCCTCCCAGCAACGGAAGGCTTCTCGCTTTACGTCAGGCCTTCTCAAAAATTAGCGCCCCGCGTTTTCTCATCCATTCCCTCAAATGCCCGGCACACCGTACAAACCCTCCCTATTCTCCCCACTCCCGCTACTACTTTGTACATATAATATACATATGCCTGATGATATCCGGGCGTTCTTCTTGCCACAGTTCTGCCTCAATGCCCAAAATGAGTCATTCATTCTTTCCTAATACGGTTGGATATGATAAACTAGGGAAACTGAATATGCAAAAAGGCGCTGCGGCTGATCGGAGCAGATCCCGGATCGAGACAGAATTCGCCCGGACCCCAAGGGAGGGACCAGTGAACCCGCAGATCCATATTATGTAGTAGGACCCCCTCAACCTGAACAAAGGCAAAGAGAGCTCCACATAAAGCCTCGGATGAGCCCAATCTTAAAGCCTCACCCTTTAGATAAACGTGCTACAAATGACGAACCCCAACTTTAAACAGAAAGTTATGTAAAATACCATGGTCAGGTGCCTCGACCCTGCTTGGAGAAAAAATCTGTATCCTTTTCGCAATGTAAGTAAATGCTCAGCATCCTTTTGGAGGTCTGAGGCCTATACTGACCCCCATTTTCTCCTCCGGTCAACCAAGAGAATGCACACATTAAGGATTACCCTGGCCCGAGTTCCCTCCGCCGCCCTCCATGTTATATCCTTGCCTTAAATCGCTCCTTTACCTCCTGGCTGAGTCGAATGTCGTGGCAACAATTCTTAGAGCTGGCAGTCCCAAAACAGTGTGGAGAGAGCGGCGAGACAGACAGAAATATCTAGATGCCAGCCGCAGGTATGAGCAGCAGGGAATACGAGGCAGAAAATATCCTGCGTCCATTCGCAGCGCTGACGCCAAAAGCCGCCAGCCTCTCCCTGGAGCGCCGCAGTGAGCGTTTGGCGCATGCGCCGCGCACCTCCCCACCCCTAACCCCACACCTCTAGGAGTCTAACCTTTAGCAATCCTCCAGCAGCTTTCACCCCTTCCCCAATACTCAGGTCCCTAATTCCTCTACCATCCCATTCCCCTTGTTCTTACCAGCCTCCACAAATCATCGTATCCTCGGCCCATCTCTTTCGTCATTCCTCTTTCTTTCTTAGCCCAGTATTCCATTGAAAAGTCTCATTCTGTTTAGTCCCCGTTTTCCTTAATAGCCTACCCTCTGATCCTTGGCCTTCTCTGCTTCTCTGCAGACCTTCTGGGCCTCTTCTGCTGTGCTTGATTTTACAAATTTAAAAAAATCAATTTTTGAAATAAATAGAGCCAGGGATCTAGCTTAGTGGCGCCGCGCCTGCCTGGCAAACACAAGGTCATGAGTTCAATCGCCGGTACCAAAAATAATAAATAATAAAATAAATAACGTTCAAAATCTATTGTTTAAAAAACAACAACAGCAAAAGAAGACAATACGGCCCTGTCTCAAAATAAAAAAGGAGGCTGTGGAAGTAGTTTAGTGCGAAGGCCCTGGGTTCAATCCCTAGTCACACACACACACACACACACACACACACACACACACACACGGCTTTAAAGGTTGGGTTTGAACTTGCAGTCTTCCTGCCTCAGCCCCCTAGCGTGCTGGTATTACAGGGATGCACTACCATACACCATACACTGGCCTTTATGGGGTTTTTTTGTTTTGTTTTGTTTTGTTTTGTTTTGTTGATGGTGGAGCTGGGCTGGTGAAACCAAAACCTTGCTCATGCGCCCCACCACTGAGCTGCACCCCTAAGCCAGGAAAGCCAAACTCTTAGAAACTCTACAGATCACAATATCGGAATAGGAATGGATTCAAACTCACATTTTGTGACTCAACAACAAACAAAAAGAGAAACAACGCCTCTAATCGATTGTTGCACTTTTGGTTTCTTACATAAAAGGAAAGTCAGGCTGAAAGAGAAGCTGGAACACCTGTGAATGAGGCCCTGGGCAAGCCTCCTGTGACGTCATAGAGGCCCCTGGAGGCAGAGTTATTTCCGTCTAAACCACATTAGAGGAAGCTGCCTTGGGGCCTGTGTGGCAGCGGAGGCTGGGCTTGTTCCTCCGAAGATCTCACCCGCAGCCATGAGCGGTAAAGAATGCTTCAAGTGTGGACGCTCTGGACACTGGGCCCGGGAATGCCCTAAAGGAGGAGCTCGAGGGAGAAGACCTAGAAGCCGTGGCAGAGGTCCGCAGTGCAGTTCCACCGCCCAATCTGACATCTGTTACTGCTGTGGTGTGGCTGGTCACCATGGCAAGAATTGTGACCTTCAGGACGTCTGCTACAACTGCGGGAAAAGTGGCCACATTGCCAAAGACTGTCCTGAGCCTAAACAAGAGAAAGACCGATGCTGTTACACCTGTGGCAGACCAGGCCATCTGGCTCGTGATTGTGACCGTCGGGAAGGGCAGAAATGCTACTTTTGCGGCGAAATTGGGCATATCCAGAAAGACTGCTCCCAAATCAAGTGCTACCGGTGTGGTGAGACCGGCCACATGGCCATGAACTGCAACAAGGCAAGCGAAGTCAACTGCTACCGCTGTGGAGAGTATGGACATCTAGCCCGAGAATGCCCCGTTGAGGCCACAGCTTAGTTTCCTCCCCTAACCCCCTCTCCACTGCTGATTAGTTGTATTTTCTCTAAAATCTCTTTGCTGATCAAAAGATTGATAGATGGAGGTTACTCTGAGATCATCAAGCTTTAATTGCTGTGTTAAAGGAGGAAAGGGCTGGAGGAAAAAATTCAAAAAAAGTTTATTACAATTAATGCACTGTTTCTGAGCCACTGAGAAATCCAGATATTGAATAGTCATTCAAAGCACTAGACAATTTCTTGGTTCTTTTTTTTGGTACCAGGGATCAAACTCAGGACCTTGTGCTTGTGAGGCAGGCGCCAGAACCACTGAGCTAAATCCCCAGGCCATGGCTTTTTTGAGTGTATTTTGATTTAACACATTCAATTAGAAGTTACTGGTGAACAAATCAGAACAACTTTTGGAACACAGCCGCCCTTGAATCTATTAAACTACATAGTGTGTCAGATAAAGGTAAATTGCCACAAAGAAAAGAAACACCAAGTAGAAAAGAAGAGAAACTACTGTGGAGCAGGGAAGACAATGTCCTTTTAGGTATCCAAGACCACCCTGAGGAGGTAACATTTCCTCAGATTGATAGAGCAAATAAAGCTGGTTCTGGAAATGTCTATGACTTTCTCAACTTTATTATATTTAACTTTCTTGTATTGATAGCTTTGAATTAAAAGATGTTAAACATTAAAAGACATCTCTGGCCCTTCATAGAGTGTATAGTTTAATAGAAATAAATGAGAAAAAGACATATAATGTGCATCAGTAGCTTTGAGAAAGAAAGAGAACATCAAAAACAAAACAAAACAGGGGCTGGGGATTTAGCTCACTGGTTTCGCCGCCTGCCTGGCAAGCCCAAGGAATCGAGTTCGATCCCCGGAACCAAAAAACAAAAAACAAAAACAAAAAGGCTTACAGCAAATTGTGGATATACATATATTGATAACAAAGTTTATACCTACGTATTTTTAAATATCTAAGAAAACAAATGAAATGATTAAGATTAAGAAGAAAAAATGCCAGGGATTTAGCTCAGTGGTTCCAGTGCCTGCTTCAAAAGCCCAAGGTCCCGAGTTCAATCCCCGGTACAAAAAAAAGAAGAAAAAAATGATTTAGCATAGCTTGAGTGTTTCATAATTTCAGAAATACTCCTTCACAGAAATGAAAATTATACTTAGGAGCTTCTAAAAAATGTTTTTTACAGATGTAAAAATGTTGGGCCGAGGATTTAGCTCAGAGGCACCGCACCTGCCTTGCAAACACAAAGTCCTGGGTTTGATCTCTGATACCAAAAAAAAAAAAAAAAAAAACAGATGTAAAAATGTTGAGTTTGGAGCTGGAGGTGTAGCTCAGGGGTAGAGGTCTTAGCTAGCATTTGAGATGCTGGGTTTGATCTCCAGCAATCCACCCTAGCCCCCAAAGAAGATTGAGTTTCATATAAAATCCAGTTTTGAAAATCAGATCTAAAAAACAATTGAACTTATATCAAATACAAAAAAACACCTTTTTTTCCCCCCTGAGGTACTGGAAATCACACTTAGGGCCTCACACATGCTAAGCATCCTATAGCTGTAGCACTGAGCTACATCCCTAGCCCAGGATTGTGCATTCGAGTAGCTCAAAGCCATCTGGACTTTCCTTTCCTATGTGCTCAGGAATTTAGGTCAGAATCATAGGGGGAAAGTGATTGTGTCCCATTTATTAAGGACACACTCAATATTTACTCTCCATTTCTTTTCTCTAGGCAATCTTTTCTAGTCTCAAGGGAAGGAAAGCCTTATTTTGACTCATCAGTATCCCTACTCCAGAAGACAAAAAATAGCAGTCTTCCCTGGGCATGCTGGTTCATGCCTGTGATCCCAGAACTCAGGAGGCTGGAGGATCGCTGTGAGTTCGAGGCTAGCCTGGACTACATAGTGAGTTCAAGGTCAGCCTGAGCTACATAACAAGAATCTACCTCAAAACAAACAAACAATCCCCCCCCCCCAAAAGAGCAACGTTCTTACTGAATCAGGCTCACAAATGTGTTTTATTTGAACTGCACATTGTTTAACAATATCTGTGAATTAGATGCCAACATCTAAAAAGTGAAACATTTCAAATAAAATTATTTATTTTTAGTCTTTCTGGAACAAAGATAAGGCAGCAACAAGCACACTTTCCTGTAGAGAAACTTTGCTACAGGTGAGTAGCACTTTCTTCCTTCAGACGAGTCACAGAGTCCTCCATTAATTCCAGGCCCCACCACTCCCTGTAGTCTTCAAAACACTCAGACAGCATATTTTATTCATTTACTTTATCTGTCAAGCCCCTATAGCCACTCTAGTCTCTAGCCCTTGCTAATGCCTGAGAATTGTTATTTATATTCCTCACATTAATAAATGCAGGGCTGGAGATTTAGCTCAGTGGTGCTGCGCCTGCCTGGCAAATGCAAGGTTCTGAGTTTGATTCCTGGTACCAAAAAATAATAATAATAAAGTAAAATAAATACAAATGTGGATCAGGGGTATGTCACAGTGGTAGAGCACTTGCCTGACATCATGTATGAGACCCTAGGTTTGATCTCCAGCACTGAGGGAAAAAAAATTGGTGGAAACAGGAAAGCATATTGTATTAATATAGATTAAAAAGTTATTTTATGAAACTGAAGCTTCCTCCTGATGTTTATTTGGTTGTTTTGTGTTTTGTGTTTTTTTGCAACTGAGATCGAACTCAGGACCTTGCGCTTGTGAGGCAGGCGGTGGAACCACTGAGCTAAACCCCCCAGCCCCTGTTTGTTTTCTTTTTTCTTTTTTGGTACAGGGATCAAACTCAGGTCCTTGGGCTTTCAAGGCAGGCGGCAGAACCACTGAGCTAAATCCCCGGCCCTGTTTTCTCTTTTGAGACAAGGTCTTGCTATGTAGTTCAGGCTGGCATCCAATTTGAAGTAATCCTCCTGCCTCAGCCTCCCAAGTGCTGGGATTATAGGGATGCACCACCATGCTCAGCATTCCTCCTGATTTAAAAGAAAAATAGCAGCTGGGCATGGTGGTACACACCTGTAATCTTAGCTCTCAGGAGGCTAAAGTACAAAGATCAAAAGTTCAAGGCCAGTTTGGGTAATTTAGTGAGATTTGGTCTCAAAATAAAGTTAATGTGGCTGGGGATGTACCTCAGCCTGGAGGACTTGCCTGCCACACAAAAAGCCCTTAGTTCCATCTCTAGTATAATAAAAACAAAACAAGAATAGCAAAGCATTTGTTTAAAAATAACTTAAAATACATCAAGCATAGTGGTACATGTCTGTAATCGTAGCACTCTAGGAGGCTGAAGTAGGAAGATCATAAGTTTGAGGACAGCCTGAACAACTTAGCGATATCCTGTCTAAATAAATAAATAAAATATTTCTGGGGAGGTAGTTCAGTGTGAAGGCCCTTGGTTCAATTCCCAGTGCTGAAAATAAATAATAAAAAACTTTTTAAAAAACCTTCTCTTGCATCCAAAATGAAACAGACATGCCTATTCTTTCCACTAAACACAACTAAAAGCTGGGCGTGGTGGTGCATGCCTGTAATCCCAGCACTTGGGAGGCTGAGGCAGGAGGATTGCCATGAGTTCGGGGACAGCCTGGGGTACATAGTGAGTTCAAAAAACAGCCTGAACTACATAGTGAGGCCTTGTCTCAGAAACAAAAAGCCCCATGACTAAAAATTCAAAACATTATTTATAAAGCACATATCAGAAGACTGAGGATGGCAGGAAAAATGCAGATGAGCTAGGGACCTCTGAACCAAAGGAACCGTACAGTAGTGAGTTCCCTGAGTTTTCTTTTTGCCTCATATATTCCAGAGTTGAAGATAAAGAAGACATTAACTCAGAAATTTTGATAGGAACTGACATACATACATAAATAAATACATAAACAAACTGGCTCTGGTTAGCCAAAGGGCAGGCAAAGATGCAGCCTAGAAAGCCAGAAAACATTTAAACAATAAGTTCTCTCCTTCAACCAAACACCACAGAAAGTAACATGGCCTCATCACCATCACCACAGCTTAGTGGTGAGCCCAGACTTATACCCTCATTAAATGACAATCATGTGCTCCAGTACTCTTTCTGAGATGCAGTCAGAAAAGCTCTAGCAAGAGCTGGGGATTTAGCTCAGTGGCACGTCACCTGTCTCGAAACCTCAAGGTCCTGAGTTCAATCTCTGGAACCAAACAAACTTCAGAGATATGACACATAAATGTAATGTGTTGTCCTGGATAGAATCCTGAGGTTGGGTGTGGAGGTACATACATGTAAAACCCCCCACCCCCCAGTACTGGGGATTGAACTCAGGACCTTGTGTTTTCGAGACAGGTGCAGCATGGCACCACTGAGCTAAATCCCAGGCCCTCTTATAATCTTGATATAGGAAATGATATAGGACCTCCAAATGATATAGGGGAAATATAACTCCCATCTTGCGAGATGTCCGACATGCCGAGTTCATGTTCCTCAAAATCAAAAAATGAGGGGCCAGGGATTTGGCTTAGTGGTTCTGCCACTTGCTTCACAAGTGCAAAGGCCCGAGTTTGATCCTTGGTACCAAAAAAAAAAAGAAAAAAAAAAAAATTAAAAATTGAATTCCAAGGAACAATGGAGGTTAAGAGTAGGAAATATTTATTGAGGGGGAAAGATACAGCTCCTGAAAGGCAGGAGTGAACCCGAGAGTGGGTTGCCGAGGACCCCACTTCTCAGGGGAAGTTTTTTTTTTTTTTGGTACCAGGGATCGAACTCAGGTCCTTGCGCTTGCGAGGCAGGTGATGGAACCACTGGGCTAAATCCCCAGCCCTCAGGGGGAATTTTATAGAGCACAACCACATGAGTACAATGTGGGTTACAACTATGATCAACCAATAAGATTGTAAGTATAGTTGCTTAGGTAATATTGATCCAATGGGGAAGCAAGTGTACATGGAAGGAACAAAGAACTTTTCAGGAAGGGATGAGTCCAAGTGTCTTGGTCACCCACTGAGGTGACTGATGTCTATCGTTACACTAGGAGTTATCACTTATCTTAGGCCTGGTCATTTCATCTTTATCTTGAGGCCTGGCCTCTAACAGATGTGCCTCTGGCCACAGTTGTAATGTGTTTTTACCTTTGTCCTGACTCCCTCGAGGGCCTAGCCCTGTCTGACTCCCTATAATATTTTCTGCCTAGTTTAGCTGTCTATAATAATCTCAACTATTTGGGAGGCCGGGGCAGGAGGATTGCAATTTCAATCAAGCCCAGCCTGGGCAATTTAGCAAGACATTTGCTGAAAAAACTAGGGATGGGAGACACTCCTGGGGATGTAGCTCAGTGTTAGAGAAAAACAAAAACCTTAAGGAAATCTAAATGAACTATGAACTTTAGTTGATAATTACAGTTCATTAATTGTAACAAATATACCACACCAATATAAATTGTTAATAATAGGGGATATGGAGTGAAGAGTTTATGATAACTGTTGTTAGTTACTTTTCTCTCATTGCTGAGACATAATACCCGACACCCAAATTTAAATGGGAAAGGATTTATTTAGCTCACAGTTTGTATAGGTTTCAGTCCATAATTAGCTGGCTCCAAGGCAG